GCAGTTGCACAGTGACTTGCATCTTCAGCTTTTCCAGATTGTTCCGTGATTTTCTTAAACTAATCCACCTGTTCATTTTGTTGCCTGCCCTTGTTCACTGCTCCTCCTCCACCTCTTCCTGGCACTTCTTTCCTCCTGGTCCCAGAGCATCTGGGTCATCTAAATTCTACCTTCCCAGCTCTAGGCCCTGTCCACTCCACTGATCAACAACCTTCTGGAAACCTCTCTAACCTGTGAACCATGACTTTCTAGACTTGTAAAACCACGCAAAACTCACCATTCCCGAGGAGACATTAGGGTTCCAAGTGTGCAGCTTGTAGTCCATGTTGTAACATTATGTCTGGCTGGTTTCCCTGCCCCACCATTCCCTGGTAAGCATCTGGAAAGTCACTCTAACTCAGAAGGACTGCAGCCACAGGCAGATCCATCGGCCTGCAGCTGACTGGGCCAGGTGCACAGCTAGTTCCTGGGATGTCTTCACACTGTTCCTTGGATCTTTGTCTTTTCCCTCTGTTCTTTGATGACTTTTGCTGTCTCCTGCTGTCCCTTACCAATGTTTCCCTGCTGATCTTTCCTGGATATTCTCTCATGAGTCACTCCCTAGGGCTGAGTCCCTAGAGTCTTAACAGTCTTGTATCTAGAGGTCCTCAAGAGTGTAACTAAACTGACTTGTCTGCCTTAGTTAATCCAACTGTAAAATGAGAGTACTTGGGTCTGTTCTGTGGCATGGGCTATTAGGGATTTATTGTAGAATGTGGTCAGTTAAGGTTCAAGAGCCAGTGGCAGAGGGGCATCGTATGGACGGGTTGTCTGCAGCTGTGGCCAAGTGACAGGCATCCCCTCAGGGGCCTGTGTGCAACCCATGTCCCCCAGCAGCACCGTGTCCCCAGCAGCACACACACACACAAAGCCTACTCCTCCACATATGATGAGGTGGGGCCTTGTAGTTCCTGCCCTACCAACCTTGCCAGGTAAGCTGCTGGTGACCAGCTAGGGCATCCGCCTCTTGCCAAGGACCGTGGCCAGTGTGTGTGTGTGGAGGGGGAGGTTACAGTGGGGGTATCCCACGTCGTGGCTGCACCCAGACGCCCCCTGCCAAAAGAGAACCAGTGCAGGAGAATGGCATGGTCCAGGAAGTGGCTGCGCCAGACCTGTGCCTTCTAACATGCACCTGCCATGCACTGACTTTCCCTGATGGCATGCTCCAGCTCTCCTGCCCACAGCCGCAGGTGGAAGCTACAGGCAGCCCTCCAGGAGACCCCTAAGCTCCAACCCTGCTCCATACCACCCCGTGCCCACCCTTCAAAACTCTCCCTTTCTTTGCATTCAGAAAATGGACTTGCCTCTCCATCATCCCGAGGGTGCAGCTCCAAGGGAAACAGCCTTCACCATAGCACTTGGCCTCTGCAAGCATAGCACAAACCTCTTTAAGAGGACACCAGAAGTAGGAGGGGGAGCCAGGTAGCTGGCCATGGACTCGGGGGAATGCCATACAGGTGGGGGGCACAGGAATGCAAAGATCTGGGGGCAGAAAGGATGTTGCTGGGTGCCAGGGTGTGGCTTTGTGTGCAAGGTAAGCAGTGAGCAGGCTCAGGGAGGTGGGCCACAGCCAGGTCACCCAGGTAAGGCAATGGACGGTGTGGAGGACTGTGCCAGGATCTGATTTCTGTTTTCCTGAGTGTTTATCCATCTGTGTGAGCATCTTGGGGCGCTTCTACAGCTCCTCCTCCCACCTCTAACACACGCACACATGCAACCATCTGTCCATAAGCCCTCTGGATTCAAGTCTCCAATTCCCTTTGGCCAGCCCTCTCCTTCCTGTTCCCTCTGTCCTTGACCCTGAACAACCTAATCACTGCCCCTCCCCACCCCCATCTTTATCCCAGGGCTCTGGGCTCATGAGCACCATGCCCCCTTAGCTGCCCAACTATTGGATCTCCGTTAGCTTTCAAGAACCTGGAGCCCAGTTGCCTCCTACTCAGGATGCTAGAAGGAGATCTGTGTGCTGCCAGATTTTTAGACATCTCAGGGGAAATGTGAAATCCAGATTTCTTATATGAAATCTCTCCCATTAAAGTATATGTATATATATGTGTGTGTGTGTGTGTGTATTGGCTGAAGACCAACAATGTTTTAACCCCAGTAGAACCCAAGTACATGCAGCAAATTCAAGACCACACAGCAAATCCAAGGCCACTGACTGGCAGCCCCTGTTAGGACAGGACCTGATAATCAATCCATCTATTATTCAATGAACAACCCACCACCCAGGCCTGCTTGCTGGCCTGCCGGGGCCTTAAGCTAAAGAAGAAGTGTGAGAGATGATGGCTTTTATCTGCCCTGTCTCCTTCCGGTCCTTTAAGGATTTCACAATTTCCTTTAAACCTTTGATGAATGCAGAATTTATTTTGGTGCAACATGTGAAGTGAGGATCTAAATTAATTTCTTTTACAGATGGGTAGCCAATTGTCCCAATACTAAATATGGATAAATCCTGTCTTCAACGCCAAGTTGATCATATAGTAACTTCCTATACATGTTGGATGACTTCCAATTACTTCTAAATTATGTGGCTATTCCTATGCTCGAACTGTAGTTTTTAATGCTTGCAACTTCATAATCTAGAAAATGCCTGTCTGTGGTCGAGAGGGCTGGCTCTGCCTCCTCCACTTCTGTTTTCCAACTTTCCCTGAATTGTTCAACTTGAGAATCAAGTTGTCCACTTGCACACCAAATCAGCTTTTTTTTTTTATGGAGATTGTGTTGATGCGGAGCTTAATTTAGGGAGAATTGGCATCCTCATGATGTTGAGTCTTCACTCCGCCCCATCAAAAATGTGGTTCAAAGTTTGCCTGTGTATCCTTCAGTAACATTTAAAAGGCTTTTCTTCCCAGAGATGTGTGCGTGTTTTTAAAGAAGTTTATTTCTAGGCTGCTTTTACACATGGAGTCTTTTAATTCATATACGTTAGTTCTGATTGCTGTCCGGATGTTTGCAGGCTATGCTAGCAGCTTATTCACCTTGCTCAGTTGCTTTTGTCATTTCCCAATCATTTTTTTCCCTTTGACTTGTGGGTTTTCTGGGTTTTAAAAAAAGTCAGATAGTCTTGCAGGAGCGATAGGATATCTCCTTTCCAGTCTGGCTCACCTTTCCAGGTGCGTTAGCTAGTGCCTTGGGCCAGCGATGGGGATGATGAGTGTGCTTTAGTAGCTAACCCCTGGTTTGGGGGGGTCCAATATATAAATATCAACTGAGGGAGTTATCATGTGGTCTAACTTACAAAAAACTCTTCTGTCGGATTGGATAGTGAAATGTATGAACGACTTCTTTCCAGCAGGAGAGATTAAGACTCTAGAGGCTTTGAAAAGTCACCCAGTGAGGATAAGGAATCAGAATGGCTTTGGATTACTTCACATCAACTCACAACACCACATGCCAGTAGAGAACTGCCTTCAGAATTCTGAGGGGAGATGATTTCCAAATGAGATTGGCACATCCGGCCAAACTGTCAATCAATTATCCCAAAACTGAACTCCCATATGCAGTCTCCAAGGGAGCTACTGGCATATATGTTACAACAAAATGAAGGGAACAAACCGAAAAAAGAGAGGACTTTGGGTCTGAGAAACAAGGAGCTGACACGGGAGAGAGGGAGGTGAAGGGAATTCCCCGGGATGAGAGCAGAACTTTCACGATATCAACAGCCAGGACAGACAGGAGAATGGCTAGTCCAGGCAGGAGTGGGAAGTCTGAGGGCTCCAAGAAGAACCTAGAACTGAGAGATTATCAGATACAGCTGATGCTAGTGCTCTGTTGCCATGTTTATGGGAAGAATTAGTAATGCCGCATCAAAAATGAATTAAACAAAAGCCCAAGGTAATCATCAACTCCAGGGAAAACAAAAAGCTGCCTAAGATGACAACCACCATCATGGGATTTAATGCCTTGGTTCACTATGAGTAATGTATATGGGGGAACCCATGCATGTCAGGGAGTCTTGAAAACATCCAGGCACAAGGCAGATTGTGGAAAAGACGATGCATATATTTCAAAGATGTTCATACCACGATGAAATCCCTCCTTCAGCTCCATGTTCTGTGTACTTTCAGACATAACCTTGTATTTTATAATAGCATAAAGACTGAATACAGACCTAGCAACTTTAGACTTTAGTGGAAGGAAAAAAAGGTGTGCTTGTGTTTGGTGGCTGGTGGAGAACCAGCAGTCTTTCAGAGGAGGAAGCCAATAAATAATATCTGAAAAAACCAGTAAAGAATGATATTTAGAAATATGAGAGTAAATGTCAGAAGGAACAGCAAAAGGACTTGAAGTCATTCTTCTGAGACAAGATTGCTGCTTTTCATGATCAATTTCATGGTGTTGTTTGACTTTAAAAATGTGATCCACGAAGTTTGAGTTAAAAATAGAAATTTAATTCAAAAACATTCATGCATCCGTCACCCAGGGTCACCTCCTGCTTTTACCAAAATGAGACTGAAATGTGAACAGACCTAGGTGTCAGTCTCAGCTCTGAGACTGTGTTACACTAGGCCAATGGCTCAGTCTCTCCAAGCCTGTATTTATTTTTTCCCACCTAGAAAGCAGGTCATGTTAGTAGCCATGGCATAGAGTTACTCACAGTCCCATGGGGTCATGCCTTGGCCCTGGCACCCAGGAGCATCCTAGGAGAGATGTCTGGTGTATGGTGGTGGTTGTTTAAGTTCTAAATGAGTGACTTTGGATGATGTATTTGACTATTGTCACCTAGAGGCTGGTATAAACCATTTCAAGATGGGGAGTTGTGAGAGACATCACACACAGACTACCTGGCACTGACCCATCTCTGAAACCCAGGCTTCTCATTTGCACAATGGGAAAAGCCTCTTAGGGTTCTATGAGTCTTCAGCGAGATGCAACAATGGCAGTGCCCAACTCAATGCCAGGGACACATGCATTTCCTCAAGGCTCTTGGACATCCTGGCAGAGGGCATGCTGACCTCTGAGATTTGGGAGTTCCAGAACAGTGCTGAAACATCCTTGCGCAGGGCCCATGCTAATCTTCTCTGTATCAATCCAATTTTAGTATATGTGCTGCCGAAGTGAGCACAGAACAGTACTGAAACAGAACCCCATTCCCAGTGGGTCCCCACAACACCCGCTCCCTATTGACTTAGTGCACATGGTGTGTCCATCAGGACAGGTACCCACGACATCACAGCACAGACATGACGTTATCTCTCCTTTCTGTGGGTTTGTTTCTGCTCCTATCCCAGCAGTCCAGGTGATTCCTAGGCCTGGAGCGCCAGCCACTTCCTTCTCTTTCAGTGGGTCAAGCAAGTCCTATGCCCATCCTGATTTGAAGTGAAAAAGAAATAAAAGCTTGCAGGTGGTTAGGGACGCAGGTGAGAGTGGCGATGCTGCCCATGTGGGTCCAGGGCTGAGGTCTCATGCTGGGTGGCTTTTCACACTGCCCATATCTCTTGCCACTTCTTCATAATCTTGGGTAATACATGGTAGATGTAGAACTGTAGATTTAGGAGAAGATCAGAAGTAGCACAGGGACACCGCTTCCCTCTACCTGGATGTGTCCTCCTCATTTTTCAGGGAGTGTAAGAGGTGGAGACCCAGGCTCAGGCTCATGTGGGACTGGCAGATGCTTCCACCCCGTCCTGGGAGGGCACGTCCGCTTCTGTGCAGTCCCATTCCCTCCAGAAGTCACACGTCTGGAGGTGAGGCCAAGAGAACCTGCTGAACAACTGCCGGGTTAACAGTTCCTCCACACGTGGGGTGCGCCTCTGCCTGCCCGGCCTCCCCACTCACACAGCCAGTCGGTGGTGTTAACTGTGCAGTGTTAAAAGTGACACCAGCATGGTGCAGGCGCCACTGTCAGCTGCTGCCAGAGATGACACCCGGGTCTGCAGACCAGGGTGAGAGCGGGGGTGAGCAACAGTCCCCTCCCCCTCATTTGGGTCCCAGGATCTCCCCGGGGTGGGGGGCTGTGTGTAAAGGGCTCTAGGAAGTAAAGGACCCATTGCTTTGCACACTAGGGCTTGCAAAGTAATGGAAACTGGGGCCTGTGGGGAATGGCAGGGGCAATGTGGAGGGCTTGAGGCCTTGAATAGAAGGGGACAGGGCCTGGTGATCAGGGACAAGATTTTGCTGAGAGCTGCTGAACTGCCCCCTGCCTTCCAGTGCTTTCGCAGGGTGCTTGCTCTGGCAGTGCAGACAGCAGCTGGGATTATCATGGAGGTTCCCAGGGACCTGCCAGTTGCAATCCAGGAGCTGTGCTGTCCCGGGTGCTGAGCTGCAGGAGCAACTGGACAGCGTTTCTTCCAGGAAAAAGATCTTCTTTCTCAGCTGCTGCCATCCAAGGGTCCCCAGAGAGGGAGGGAGGGAGGGAGGGACAAAGAAGGCAGAGCATGGAGTGGGGGAAGAGTGGCTGAACCCTCCTGCAGTGTGGGAAACAGGGGAGCCCGCCTTCTTCCTCAAACCCACTTTGCAGATGGGGAAAAGGAGACCTGGAAGGCTCACCCACGTACTACAGCATCCAGATGGTCCAGCCCCGCACGATTGGCATGAAAACTCGCATGCGTGTTCCACTCCCGCTTCCCTGCAACTAGCGGTGCAAGACCTAACCCAAGCCCGTTATGAGCCTGGGGCTGGACCACTGTGCAGTACTGAATAAAGCTTAGGACATTCAGCTGCTTGTTTATAAACACAAGTGCCTCTGGCTTTAAGGGCTACAGAACACTCTCCTGTTTAGGGTCTCATGTTCTGCTTGCAGCCACCTGTGACAAATGCACGATTTCCACTTTGCAATGTAGGAAACTAAGGCCGGGGTACGAAACGCCAAGCATTCACTCAGCTCCTGAAGGGTCAGTGGAGATGCAGCTCGGCTTCTGCCATGCAGCCTACTCTGACCAATTCCCAGGAGTCCCTCAGGCCAGTCCAGAGGCAGGTACAAGTGCATGTGTGTGCGCGCTGACTCATTGGCTAACCAGCCGCCATTTAGAGACTAACGCTCTGTCAGGCCTACCCGCAGGTGGAGCAACTGAGGCCCCATGGGAGAGAGGGCTCAGCCAGGAAGGCCACGAGGGATTCAACCATCCTGGCTTGTTCCTCACCCCACGGCTCCTCGTTGCCCCTCTCGGAGGTCCTAAAGTCCCAAGGAGCCTTCTCTTTCTCCTTCCATCATCCTGACCTGTGGAAGTCAGGTGCCCTGAGGCACCTGTAGGAAAGCAGCCCTGGCCGCTTCCAGGACAGTTTGTTCTGCTGTTGGCCCCTTCTATGGTCACCCCTTTTCTGGGGGCGAGGCAGGTAGCGGATGCCCACGTACTGTGCGTGGGGGCTCTGAGATATGCCTGGTGGAGCCACGCCCCAGTCACCTGCGCAGCAGCTGGCCTCATAGGCACCTGTATCCTCGCTGCGCTCATTGGCTCAGGCTGCGATTCTCACAGGTCTCCTCCAGGGAATGCCGGTGCTCTGGCGACTTCCCTGGGCTCTGACGTCTCTGCTGGGCTCCAGTGTGACAACAGCCTGGACTTTGGCTAGATTAGGTCATGTCATTTATGGCCGTCCGGGAGAATTCACTGTTGGCCAAGACAGACTGTTTTCCCAGGCTGTTCTCCCAGGCCTAAACACCTTCCCATCTGGATCCTGTCCCTCCTTTAAGGTCCTGCCCTTCCTTTACCACCAGTAACCTTGAACTTGGGATTGCCTGGGGAAGCCCAGCTCCATCTTCACTCGCTGAACCCGTTCTATGGAGGCCAGAAATGGTCTCCAACCCTGCCCTTATTACTCCCAATTCCTCACCTTACCACTGCAACCTTTATCTTCCCGGCACACATGGTGATCCTTAGCTGGAAAGTTGAAGGTTCAGTGAATTCCAGCGCTGGACGTCACACAACTCAGAAGTGATGGAGTTGAGATTTTCATTGAGTCTGAGGCCACATCCCAGGCTGTCACCCTTATGCTGACTGGCGGTCTCACCTCTGGGGACCAGCTGGCCAGGAAAATCAGGTCCCACTGGTCACTCCCGAGGGAGCCCACTTATAGAGCATCCTTGCATTGTGCCCACTCAGCCACACTTCTGGAAGATGCTTCTTTTGCCAAAGTTATTATACATTTTAGAAATTCATTGGAGAGAGAGAGAAAAGGAGGAGGAGGAAGAGGAGGAGGAGAAGGAGGAGGAGAGGGAAAGAAGGAAAGAAAGAAAGAAAGAAAGAAAGAAAGAAAGAAAGAAAGAAAGAAAGAAAGAAAGAAAGAAAGAAAGAAAAAGAAAGAAAGAAAGTCCCCTATTTACTGATTCAAGCTTCAAATGTGTGCAAGGGCCAGGCTGGAAGAGTGTTAGAGCCAGGACCCTACACCTCTATCCAGGTCTCCCCACATGGGTGGCAGTGATACAATTACTCAAGCCATCATTGCTCCTGCCCTCCCTGCTCCCCAACGGTCTTTATTAGCAAGAAGCTGGAATTAGCAGCCTGCACTTGAGTATCAACCCCAGGTGTTCCAATCTGGGATGCTGGTGGCCTGATGGAGTCTGAACCTTTAGGCTAAATGCCTACACTTTTACCATTTTTTAAAAAGGATCTATTTGAAAAGCAGAGCAACAGAAGGAAAGAAATGCAAAGAGCTTCCATTCACTTCTGTTGCCCAAATGGCTGCAAGAGCCAGGTGGAAGCCAGAAGTCAGGGACTCCATTTGAGTCTCCCACGTGGGAGAGAGAGAGGCCCGAGGATATGGGCCATTCTCCACTGCTTTCCCAAGAGCATAAGCAGGGTGGAAAGTGGAACAGCCGGGGCTCTGCCCAGTTCTCTGGTGTGAGATGCCAGTGTCACTAGGGCCCCTGTGATGCTATGTCACCTCCATGTCTGCTGTAAGATTGCTGTAAGAAGGGCCATCGGGCCCTTCTCTGTGAACGGCCTGTTGCTGTTTGCTCGCTTCTGCCTTGGCTTGCTGATTCCCCACTGACTGTGGGAGTCTTTAGCATTTAAGGAGACTCATCCTTCACCATATGTGTTGCAAATATTTTTCTAGCTTTTTTTTTTAATAGCAGGATTTTAATATCATATACAGTTGAGTTTTCAATATTTATTTTGTGGCTTGACATTTAATGTCAATGCAGTTAGCGGCCTCCATCTGCAGGATTCCTCTGAACTATTGTTATGGGTAGGGACATGGCAAGGTGGCCCTGGCTGTGCCAGAAGCCCTTGTAAGTGGATGCTGTTTTTGCTGGGGGCTTTTCAGAGATTGGAAAGCCAGCCTTCCTATTAGTGGCATCTCCAGCTTTCTCAAAGGGAAGCTGGATCCCAGGTCAGGGTACAGCGCCTGGGCAGCAATAGCCCTGGGGTGTCCACCAGCACAGCAGCAGCTGGACCATTAGCATTGGGAGGGAGTGTGCAAGAAATCTGGAGGGATTTGAAGGCAGGGGAGGGGCAGGCAGGAGGGGATGGCTTATTTGGAGGACAATTCAGACATCTGCCTTGGCCCAGGACAGGTTCCCACGAAGGAGAGGAGGGTGAGAGCCGACTGGGGAAACTGGGGTCATTAGGTAGCAGCGGGGAGTGGGGAAGGAGGGCACAGGCGTTGCACACAGCCCCGGGATCAGGTTGGGACCAGGGCCAGACCTCAGGGGGTCCCTGGGGTCGGGTGGCCGCCAAGGGGCAGGCCCAGAGCTTTGGGAGCTTTGGCAGGCCTGCCGACACCCTAATTAAGCGGCGGGTACACTTCTCAACGCAACTGTCACCCGCGCGCGCCCTGTGCACTCGCGCGAGGTGCACGCCAGGAATGAATTATTCCCAAAGCGCCAACAGAAGGAAGCGCTCCGTAAAGACGGAGCCCGAGGGCGTGAAAGGAAAACAAGCCCTGTTCACACGCAGGCAGCAGCATCCGCTCGGCACAGCCGCCCCCCCCCCCCGCTCCCTCCTCCCTCCCACCCCGAGGGGGCGGAAACGCTCGCGGCAGTGACACCGCGCCCGCCCCGTCACCTGCAGGAGCCAAAGTGGGTAGACGCTAAGCAGCGAGCTGGAGCCTTTCCGTGCCGCCCCACCTGCCCGCCGGCCCACTTGCCCCTACGGGCCCCATTGGTGGCTGCATCAGCGTGAAGCG